CCACTACTACTACTACCACTACTACCACTACTACTACTACTACTACTACCTACTACTACTACTACTACTACTACTACTACTACTACTACTACTACTACTACTACTACTACTACTACTACTACTACTACTACTACTACTACTACTACTACTACTACTACTGCTACGCTACTACGACTACTACGACTACGACTACGACTACGACTACGACTACGACTACGACTACGACTACGACTACGACTACGACTACGACTACGACTACGACTACGACTACGACTACTACTACTACTACTACTACTACTACGACGACGACGACGACGACGACGACGACGACGACGACGACGACGACTACTACTACTACTACTCTTACCACCACTGCTACTACGAGTCACGCCCAATGTAATCCCACCGAAGACGCCGACTAGACACTCATCAAAGGACGTTCGCCTTCCAACGTTGGCAACGTGCGCGGCTGCGCGCAATCGCAATGCCATCGATGTCTTCTTTCTTGGCGTGCGCGCTTCGCGGCAACACTGGAGGCGGATGTCACCCAATGGCTTGGTGGTCCTCCAAATGTGTCCCCTTATTGGGCCGCAATCATGGCTGTTTCTGGTTTCGGCCTTGCACTTTCGTTCCCACGATTCGAAGCCTGCCTCGCACTTTGCAGTGTGCTCGCGAGGGGTGAGTCGTAACATTGACAGGCAGAGGCAAGTTAATTCGAAGGGTTCCGTCCGCAATATTTCAATTGAAATTTGGTGTTCATCCCCGTGCTGCGGTTCACCAGGCAAGGATTGCACTTGGGCGCTCCTACTCCGGTTTCACGCACTTGGGTGGGCTTCCCGAGGCTTCGCCATGTTCCCGCTCGTGGGCGCCCAGTGCGCTGGGTGGGTTTCCCGAGATTTCGTCATGTTCCCGCTCGTGGGCGCCTCGTGGGCGCCTCGTGCGCTGGGTGGGTTTCCCGAGGTTTCGCCAAATTCCCGCTCGTGGGCGCCTCGTGGGCACCTCGCACACCACGTAGCTTACACCGCACAGCTGTTACAGCATAGCATACACCACACAGCTCGCACAACATAGCGGTACACAACATATATTGCATCACGCAACTTGAACACCATGTCTGACACCGCATAGCTCACACCGCATAGCTCACACCGTGCAGCTCATACTACATAGCTTACATCGAAGAGCTCGCACTGAATAGCTCACACCGCGCAGCTTACACAGTATGGCTTGCACCACATAGCCTATACCGCATCATAGTTTATACCGCATGCGCTCACACCACATAGCTCACATCGCAGAACCTCCACAGTGCAATAACTCACAGCTTGGGGTCCACCCTGGCTAACAGATTATGCACTTTTCTCGCGGGGGTGGATGACCTAGCTGACGCACAAGACTTCCACATAAATTCTGTTTGTCTCGTGGCGGGCCGCCGCCGGCGCTGAGGATGCAAGCGAACCAATCGTCCGAACATTGATTGCTAGGCCTAGTAAATCGCGGGATGCCGTAGTTGTGACCTGGGCAATTGCTCAGTAGGGCTTGCTGATGGCCCATCTTCGCGTTGTAAAAAATGGAGGTGACAGCTCTGCGGTGTAAGCTGCGCGAAATAAGCTGTGTGGTGCACGCTATGCGGAGTAAACTGTGTGGTGTGATCTGTGTGTGTGTGGGATTAGCTATGTCTTTGTTGTGCAAGCTCTATGGTGGGAGCTATGGGGCGTAAACTGTGCGGAGTGACCTGTGCGGTGTCAGCTCTCTTGCGCACCATGTGCCGTTTAGGCTGTGCGGTGTGAGCTACGTCGCGTGAGCCATGCCCCCCAACCCGAGTCACGGGCCGCCCGCGAGCGCCCACGAGGCGCCCGCGGGGCGCCAACGAGGCGAAACCTCGGCGGACCCACCCGGGGCACGGGGCGCCCGCGGGCGCCCGCGAGGCGCCCGCGGGGAGGCACGTGGCGCCAACGAGGCGAAGCATCGGCGGACCCGCCCGGGGCACGGGGCGCCAACGAGACGAAACATCGGTGGACCCACACAGGCCACGGGGCGCCCACGAGGCGCCCACGAGGCGCCCACGGGCGGGCACTGGGCGCCAACTTGGAAAGTCCTCGGCTTACCCCCCCCGATTACTTAGGAAGACGAGTGAGAACGCCGAAGTGCTAGCACCACTTGGGCAGAAACATGTCTTCAGAAACTGATGAGGAGGGTGTGCTTCAGCACCGTTGATGCATCAAGGGTTTACTCTGGCCCTCCGCCTCCTCCTCCTCCTTTGCCTTCTTCTTCTATCTTGTCCTCCATCGCTTCTCACTGCTCCTACTCCTCTTCTCATTGCTCCTCCTCCTTCTCCTCGTCCTCCGCCTCCTCCTCCGTAGTCTCCTCGCTCGATCTCCCCTCCTCGTCCTCCTTGTCCTCGGGGGGAGGGGGGAGGGAGAGGGGGTGGGGGAGGGAGAAAGGAAGAGGGAGGGAGGCAGGAAGGAGGGGGAGGAAGGAGGGATGGGGGAGGAGGACAGAGGAAGAACGACGACGACGACGACGACGACGACGACGCCGGGGCCACCATGCCCTGGGAGACCATGCGTGCGTCCAGGGCGTCGTCCAGGCCGAGGCCCCGGATGTGCGAGTGGGCCCCGATCCGCTCCAGGCGGTGGACATCTCGGACCTCTGGCGCGGGCTCCTCCTTCTCCTCCTCCCCCTCCTTCTGGGCGTGCGCACGCACTTCCCCCTTATCTCCGCGCGCGAGACCAAGCTTTTTTTTAGGCCCAAAAATTCCCAAACACGTCAACAAACCTCGGTCCTCGATGCTCGAACGTCGAGGGAACAATCCTGGAAGTTGGGGGTCTGAGAGGAGAGGGGGAAGAGGAGGCGGGGAAGGTCAACACCACAACAAACACCTCAAGGGGCAGTACATCGATACAAATACCTTGCACATACAGAAGCTGCGGTAATCCAAACTACCCCGGGGTCGACTTACTAATCGAGATGTTGGGCCCTCAGCCTTCCCGACATGCTCTCAAGGGTTTCGTGGCCTAAACTTTCCAGCAGCGGGTGCCCCAGCAGCAGTGCGCAAGGGGCGGGGACAAGACTTGGGTGCTTGTTTTGCTCTTATGGCGATTGTGAATCAGAAAACGGTACGCAGTATTTGGTACATGTGCGAATGATAAGCTTGGTTGTACATTACTGATCTGTCATCCAGTCGTACGGAGAGGGACCCACTGCTACAAAGACTTGTCGGACAAGCGACGCGAGCACTTTGTACACTAACGCGCGGCTACTAATCGGATCCTGCCACCCACCATGCGGTGCGCCACCGGTCGACGACGCTCCTGGAGATCTAATTCGGCGGCTTGCAACTTATTGTGGATAATCTGCCACCGCGCCTCGAGGCTCGAAGTGGAGTGTCCTCAGGTCCTTAAGGGTCCTCTGTACTCTGAACTCAGGACTCTGGGATTATAGTGTTCTAAAGGCTGGAGCCCAAAATTCTCGAATTTCCCGGGCGCTCCCGCGCGTTACTGGGCTGCTTCGCGTGACTTCTCCGAAAGCCAGAGGGCCCCAAGACTGGCCAAGAGGGCCCCAGAAAGCGCCCACGAGGGTTCAAGAGGTTTCCAAGACAGCCCAAGAGCGCTTCAAGATGGCCCCAAGACGGCCCAAGAGGCCCCAAAGAAGCCCCAAGAGCGCTCCAAGAGAACCCAAAGGGGGCCCAAGGAGGCAAACATCATTCATTTTCTTTGTGCTTTTGTCCACTGTTTTTCGCATTCTCATGGCCCCAGATGCACCCCAGACCGCCCCAAGACGGCCCAGGAGGCCCCCAAGACGGTCCAAGAGGGCCTCAAAACGGTCCAAGAGGCGTCCAAACTCGCCCAAGAGAGCCCCAAGGTGCACCCAAGAGGGGGAACACGAACCGACAATTCGAGCCTACTGCCCTACGAGGCCCCCAGGCCCCCAAGAGAACCCCAAAAATCCCTCCCCTAGAGGCCCCACGAGGCCCCCAAAAGGCCCCCAAAAGATGCTCCCAGGGCCCCAAACAGCCCCCAAACGGCCCCCAAGAGGTCCAAAACTGCCTCCAAGAGGCCCCCGAGAGGCCTCCCACGATATCCAAACGAACATCCAAGAGGCCTCTAACCCACATTCCAAGCCGAAGGCCACTAGATCCGCCGCCCCCTCTGGTCTTGCCACAGATGTGCCCGGCGTGCTAGATCCTACTGGTTTGGTTTTGGGACTCTCCCCATGGGCTTCGGCCCGTACCGCCGGCCTTCCAGAAGACGTGGTTGCCAAAACTTTCGCGGTCCAGATGGCTCCAAGATGGCCTCCAAGGCGGCCAAAATGGCCTCCAAGTTCGCCCAAGATGGTCCAAGATGGCCTCGAAGACGGCCCAAGACGGCCTCAAGATGACGGCAGACGGCCCAAGAGGCCCCCAAAAGGCATCCAGGACGGCCAAAGTCATTAATTTGCCTTAGATTTGCAATATTTTCGCATTTGCCTCTTTTTGGCCTTCCGACGGCTCGAGACGGCCCAAGAGCCCCCCAAGATCGCCACAAGATCGCCCAAGAGACCTCCAAAATGGCCGGGCCCCAAGGAGACCGAAGACGGCCCAAGAGACCTCGAAGACGCCCAAGATGGCCTCCAAGACGGCCCTGGAGCACCCCAGGAGGGCCCTAAGTCGGCCCAGAGTGGCCCCCAGGACGGCTTCCGACGGCGTCAGAAGGGCCAGGAGCCCACCAAGACGGCCCAAGATGGCTCCAAGATGGCCAAGAGGCTCCCAACTGGTCTTCTAGACGGCCCAAGGGGCCTCCAAGAGGACTCCCAGGAAGGCCCTAAGAGGCCAACCATCATTGATTTGCCTTAGGTTTTCGTAGGATGTTGGCATTTGCTTCTTGTCGGCCTTCAGACGACCCGAGAGAGGCCAAGAGCTCCTAAATATTGCCCCGAGATCGCCCACGAGGCTTCCAAAATGGCCCCAGGCTAGCCCAAGAGGCCCCAAAGACGGCCCCAAGGAGCCCGAAGACGGCCCGAGAGGCCTTCAAGACGCCCAAGATGGGCCCTGGAGCACCTCAAGAGGGCCCCATGTCGGCCCAGAGAGGCCTCCAAGACGGCTTCCGACAACGTCAGAAGGCCCAGGAATGCCCTAAGACTGCCAAAGAAGCCCCCGAGAAGCCCCGAAAGGCCCCCAACAGGCCCAAGGAGGCCCTCAAGATGCGTCCAAGAGGCTCCCAGGTAGCTTCCAGGAGGTCCCAAGACTGCCCCCAGAGGTCCCCATGATGCCCCCTCCTCCTCTTCTTCCTCCTCCTCCTCCTTCTCCTCCTCCTCCTCCTGGTCCCCCCCGCCGTCCTCCCCCAAGTGTTCCCTAAAGAGTTTCACAACAGCTGGGGGAACAAATGGTCCGATAGCTTGGCAGAGCTCTTGCCACAACGCTCGGCCACATGGGCGATTCCAAAAGACAGGGGGCGGCGGTGATTCGCCGTAGGCGTCTTCGATATACAGAAAGCACCTTTCATATTCATGAAGGTGGCCATACATGTCAACACAAGCGAGGCGTACCACAGCATCGGCCACATCATCATTGGATAACCGCTCTACACATTCACGCAAGGCTGTTGGGTGGATTGTGAGTTCAACAATTCAAAGCAAATGCCGAAGCAGACGGCCACCCTCCTGTGGCAGCAGTAATAGCGGGCACAATTTCTAGACAGAACACGCCGACGGCAAAACGTATGATATTGGACCCTCAGCGGCTTTCCGACCGACAAGCTCGCGACAAGTACGGGATGATACTGCCTGCTTGGTCGGCCGACATTAATGAGCATCGGCAGACCACCGACCAACTCATCATTAGCGCCGCCCACAGTTGCCTTAGGTATAACCGCCTCACCTCGATCAAAAGCCGGCACCATGCAGCTCGCGCGATTACGGCAATACGTTCGCAGAGCTACTAGTAGATTGCTGACGCACGCTCCTCATCATCCACCTTTGGCGGATCTACTCGGGTGATCCGACAAAGGTGGATGACCCGAGTAGATCCGCCACACCTCCATGGTGATCGATTCGGGGCAGCCAGCGCACCACCATGGGCGACAGCTACTGCGCATTTACCCGCGTCTGGCATGCCCCACGATGAAGAACGGCATAGTTGCGGTGAGACCACCTCCCTGGCTGAGCTTCGCCACTTCGGCTCTAACACGGCGGCAGCACTCGTCAAGCGTCGGGCTCGGCGAGATCGCGCGGCTTACACAGAGGAACCCGCGCAGAGTATGACAAACATGGCACTTGCTGAGGACGCTCACGGCGAGTGGCGGGCACTACGTACCGTACTTCGACTTGGCGGCCGCCTCGGCAAGGCAAGTTACCGTTACAAGACGACTAAGACGGCAAGGTCATCGAAGATACCTCCCAAGAGTCTGCTGCAGTTCTAAAACACTTTGAATCTACTGAGGCCGAACAGATCCCCAGCATGACGCAGCTCGAGCACAAATACAACAACGAACTCCATCACGATGTTCTGCGGACGCCAATGGTTGCTCATCACATCCATCATGTAGGTGTGAGTAGCAGCAAACATGTCTGCCAAGACTAAGAAGCGGAAGGTGGCAGGCCGGGACAACTTATCTGAAACTATACTGGCTAGTCGCCATTGCGCATGTGCTCGACACTACACTCCTCTGATGATCGAAGCGGCCATGCACCAACAAGAACCACTAGCTTGGCTACATGGAGTCGTATACGGGGTCGTAACTAAAGTGTGGCATCGCTTCTTACGAGACCAGCTGGTTGCATATATGGATATCTTGTTACGCGCCGCACAAGGTGGGGACCGAGCACATGATCACCCAGGTCCCCCAGTCCAGATGGCCAGTTCTTTCCTCAAGACTGCCAAGCTGCAAAGGCGCACGGCAGTGCTGTAATTCGTCGACCTCCAGGCTGGCGAAATACTTGGCGATTCGGCCGTTGGCGCTTCATACGACTGGCGACGACGACAACGACGACGACGACGACGACGACGACGACCGCGAATACGTGAGCCGTGAGCACGACAATCCCGCGGTTATGAAACCCCTTCGCACCTTCGTCCTGAGCCAGCCTGTTGCGCTTGCGGATCTGAATGCGACGCCACACCTTCTGGCTTCGTTTATCAAGGGACATCGGAACGCAAACTTTACCACCTGTATATGCTGGCACCGACGCGGCAAAATCACGTAGAGGCACCCGGCTCGACAGCTCATTGCCGGGCGCGATTTTTTTAATTCATCGTGCGACCCCTGTCCATCATCGCCGGTAAGATCTCGGAGCTCAACATGTCGCTACCCATATCGCCCCATGGTCTGGTTCGGCAGGTTCCTCTCGGTCACGACCCTGCGGACTTGAGCGACGTAAGTTTTGTAGACGATGTCTTGTTCATGGTACCCCCCGAATCAACGGAGACTACCATCGAAGACTCTGGCAGGGTCATCGACATCGTCCATGTGACCAAGTTGTCCTACGGCTACAGGACCGACTACGAGCCCACAAGAGCGGCTTGATGTCTTCACCCAGAGGTGCTGGGGCTGCCTAGCTACAACGTGCTCTCGAGACGGGCCTGCACCCGACGTTGTGCTCATCTAGGTGGGGAGCCCAGGTTCGGGGATGGACAGAACCCCCTTTAGCAAAAGGTGGTTTAGTGAAAACGACCTCGGGCCCAAACCTGGCGGGCGCAAGCCTGGAAGATGACGGCCGCGGCGCCCTCTCGAGAACCGAAAACGGACAGTTCACTAATCGACGTGTCAGGGTGGGGGTTTTGTCCACCCCCGAGAGGTACACATTGCCACAGCCTACCAACATTGGGGCTCCGATTGGCCGTGATGCTGTCCTTGCTGCTCCTCGCGCTGCTTTTGGATGCTCCAAGCAGCGGACTGCTTCTGGAAAGATTCGCCGTGCTGGTGCGCGGCTTGGCTCGGTGGCGACGGCATCGAAACGTAACAGCACGGGTGTGTTGGTGAACGCACGTTTGCTATATCGGGGCGCGCAAACATGGATTAGCGATCCATGGATTTGGCGCGCGGTCGCCAAATCCATGGATCGGGGGAGGTGCCCTCCCCAAAATGCGGCCGGTGCCGCCTCGTTCGGCGGCGGAAATCCGCGGTTTCCCATGGAAACGGGACCCGTCGCTAATCCACGCCCCCTTGATCCATGTCTGCGATCGCCTGGAGATCTTAGCGAAGTACGGGACGCGCTTCCCCTGGCTACGCGGAAAGCGTAGGGCAATCCGCGGGTTGCAGCCTGTAGAGCTCTTCAGGGACGTCCCCATCGCTCCGAGCCAACGGTCTTCTGCACAGATGTGGAAGCGATGGCTGATGCAGGCCGCTTGCCGTGGGAGTGACGAATACGCAAGAGACGGCTAACATACTTTGGCTCCCTCTTGTTACATGCGCCTCCCATTATCATTGGTTTACTTGATCAGCTGGCGGACACGGCGGGCTCTGGGAGGACTCTAAAGTTTGATGACCTACGCAAGCTTTCTTCACATGGTACTCGTAAATCTGAGATGGCAGCATGTACTCTTTCCCGTTGGTTTTGGCTTGTGTCGCAGCATTGTAAGGACTAGCATCACCTGCTCAAGAAAGCTTGGGACTACATTGTGCCAGCGCAGCTGGGCAGACAACTAGACCTACTGTAGCGGCAGTAGCTCGACCCCATGATGGCCTCTCAACCTGCCACGATATCCGACGCTACGACGTTTCTTTGCTATGCTTGTGGGCGGACCGTCCACGCGCCTGCTGCTATAAGGAGGCACCACCTACAACACGACCCACTAGGCGCAGCGCAACTGCTGGTACCTAGCATGCAGTGCGAACGTTGTGGCGGAGTCTATGGCAATTGGTCTAGTGAAACACCTCTGAAGTGCCGGCAACCATTTCTCTCTTTGGCTTCATGAGAGGTGTGTTGTTTATGGGCAGTGACGGCTGCGAAATTGTTCGGCTGCACGATCTTCCGAATGAGCGCGACTAGGCTCGACGAGATTACCAACGATTTGAGGTATTCAAGCACGCTGTCCCTGGAGACCGCCGTGGTGGATGAGAATGTCCGTTAGAATTGACGGCGACGCCTCCCGTCCCAGTTGGTGTAGTACCGCCTTCATTGCCCATGATTCGTACACCACCCGCGGGCAAACTCGTTTCTCTGCCCTTTCTCTGTTGGCGAAAGGGGGGCTTGTGCGGTTGGTTGCCGGCATTGTTGAGCAGACGTGTGGACGCTGTGCGATATCTTATCCATGGAAATGGCCATGATAGGGGCAACGTGTATACCACACTTTTACCGACGCCCAGTGCAGCCAGCTCAATCTCGAAATAGTGAAGGGTGACATCCTTGCAATTGCTATGGAGCATGGCCTTGCCTCTTGGAGCGACGATCGTGCCCATCGACCTGTGCGCGCTCGGGCCACGCGTGATGCTGGCTCACCCTGGGGACAATCCGACCTATCGGGGCAAGCTCTGGCAAAGGTGATCTTGGGGAAGGGTGAGCTGAGACGAATGCTGACGATGCTTGTGTGCTGCTACGTCTTGAGGGATCCCAGCCAAGGCTAAGCTTCATTGGAAAACGTATTGTGATAATCTTGTTGGGACAACTAACCGCTTACGGCCTGTGCATGACGGCCGTGTTCAGCAATATCGAGTGGATCTGCGCATGTTCGGGGCGGCGGTGGGCATGCAGCCCACGAAGTTCTTCTCCGCGCGCTGCGACTCTGAATGTTCCCTCGGGGAATTCGGTGGGGGGCGCTGCCAGCACGACGACAGCTCTGAAGGCTGGCCTGGCTTGAGCGGGAGTGGTGGCCCCACGGTCTGTCCCGTCTGCTGGCCCGTATACGCAGAAGGCATCTATACACCACCGTCCCAAGCCAGGGCCAAGGAGGGTCTATACACCGTCCTGGGGCCCAGGATGGCCCTGGCCTGGCACGGTGGTGGTGTATCGATGCCGTCGTCGGACTGTAGCCTGCTCGCAGACAGCCTGCCAGCTCGTCTGCACCCGGCTGCGGGCAGCTGCTAGCCTTCCCCCCGAACTCGTGCGGTAGGCTCCCCGCCTGCGCCTGGCTCTGTGCAGTGCCCGCCGAGGGGGGCGGGCGGCCCACGGGGGCGCAAACGCGGCAGTGGGCGAAACGTGGCACGAGCGCCGCCCCGTGGGCCCCAGCCGCTCCCTGCAGGCATGCCCGGGAGCGATCCTGCGCTTCGCCTCCCCTCGCTTATCACCGCTGTTGTTGACTATGTGCATGTCCAGCTTTGCCATGCACATTCTGCCCATCTTGCTGTCCCACCTCGTGCTGCAGGCGCGTCGCCTGAACCCTGTCCTGCACTGTGCCTGTGAGGGGGAGGGGCGGCCACCCAGGGCAAAGGCGGCAGTGGGAGAGCACACATCCAGAGCGCCGCCCCGTGGGTCCCCCCCCGTTCCCAGCAGGCAGGCATCGATGCGATCCTTGGCCTCACCTGTTTCTCCCATCATGACATTCTCTTCTGGTCCGTCTCGGTCCTACTCCCTGGGGCGCTCGGCTACGCGGCGGGCAATCTTCCCCGCCCCCATCTCTCCGATTTGTCTCCTGGTCCTGTCCTACTTGCACGGCAGCTCGGCGCCTTCGCCTCCACTGCGCGCTCTGTCTATTCGCGCACCCCTGGCATGGTGGCGAGGGCGTCGACGCTCCCATCGTGCCTTCCATCCTGCTCTTCCTATTCAGGGGGTGGAGGTAGTAGGTATGTAGTTGAAGGAGTTTGGTGGTCATCTTGCTCGTCCTTCTTGCTGCTGTTCTTATCTGTCCATCGACGCCCCTCCAATCATCAGCGCTCTGGCCGTAGGTGCGGGAGTCGCGGCGGGCATGCGGCTGCATGCCCGCTAGCTGACGCTTCGAGCGATTGCTCACGCGGCTTGCCCAAGAACAGAGAAAATGAGGCAGAGGTCTAAGGAGGAGTTCCGAGGAGGAGCGCGGCAGTGCCTGAGCACAGTACAACCCCCCCCCCCGCAGCCAGGACCAACACTCCCGACCTGGTGACCCATGGGGGTCCTGGCGAGGCCGTCGAAATCTAAAAATACCTACTGCTCCCTGGCCAGGCCCAACCTGTACCTGGCAGCGGTGTATACGCCACGCCCTCCTAGCTTGCCCAGGACTGCGTATACACCGCTCCTGGCTTCAGGATGGGCCTCGCCAGGAAGCAGTGGATACGTATAGATTTCGTCGCCCGACTGGCTGGGGGTGGGGGGTGGGTTGTGCCGTCCTCAGCAGCCCCGACCCGCCTCCGCGATCTGCTTGGGGTCTGCGGCCGCCATGGCCTGCGGCGGCGGCGGCTTGCCTGCGCCGGGTGGCAGGCAGGGGCGGTGCCTGGCGCTCGAGCCGGCGCTGCCACGGCCTGGGCTCGCCATGGCTGGGACGTCCATTCCCCGTGCATTTGTCGGTTTCGTGCGTGTATTTTTTGCAAGATGGCCCGTCAGGCTCTTCGATGGTCCTCGCCGAAAAAATCACACGTCCGAGCGATTCCAGGTGGGCTCGAGCTGAGTAGCGCTTCTTGTTTTCGTTCTGTCTTCGGTGTCCCGCGCTCTGACGTCGTTCCGCCTTTGCTGCAAACCGAGATCAAAACGAATACGGCCCGCGGAGTCGCCCAAACACCGGTTCGCTCGGGCCCTGCTTCTGATGTCGCGGTTTTCAATGCCCGCGCTGCCCCACGTCAATGCCGGAGTCCGAGGGGGCCGTCTGCGGGCCCCAGGGGCAAGCAGGAGCAGGTACAGGACGAAGAGCTGCCCGAGTCGAGGCCCCTCCTGCTGAGAGTGCTGCCCACGACGATCGGAAACCGAATGCCCATGATCTGGGACGTTCGGGCCCCCTCATTAAGGGGTCCCTGGGCGCCGCAGGAGAAACGTCCATTAATGCGGGGCGGCACTAAAAGTTATTACCACCTCCTCGTCGTCGTCCCCCCCCTCTTCCGACAACCTCGTCGTGGTCCTTCTCTTCCGCCAACTAACTAATGTGCTGCTACGTCGGCGAACGCACATTACTGCTGTCTCGGAGACTCGTGTTCGAGGCCAAGACCCACTTGAGGGAACAAGCTCCGTGCTTCAGAGAACGCGAGCCCACGGTCGAGAGCCCTCGCGCAGATGCAGCCGCTCCTCCCACATCAGCATGCTCACGCCCTCATTCAGATGTTGTTCCTTCTGTTTCTCGCTCCTCCTGCGCGACCTATCACATGACTTCCCCTGCTGTCCCCTCTTCCTCCCCTTTTCTGAAGAGAACGACGAAGAAACAACGGGGTCGTACGCAAGAGGGCACGGCGGCGTCACTGCCGCCAACGCAGCACACCACGCGGAATGAAAGCAAAGCGCTCCCACAAGAATAAATCCCTCGACTCCGCTCCCAAGTCAAGTCCTCGCGCCCACCGAAGAGCACGATGGATCAATGGTTGGCAAGCCGGATAGGGCATCGGATGCGGAACGTTGTCGTTGTCGTCATCCTTTTCCTCCTCATCCTCCTCACCCGCGGAATCTGACACTCTGATCCTGAGGGGTAC